CTATAAATCCGTGGTCTTTTCCGCATGGACCTCGCATCTTGATCTCATTGAAATAAGCCTTCGATCCGTCGGTATTACATTCACCAGGCTCGATGGTACAATGTCTAGAACAGCTCGCACCGCCGCAATGGACAGTTTCCGAGAGGACAACAACGTTCACGTCATCCTCGTTTCCATCATGGCGGGTGGGTTGGGCCTCAACTTGACTTCTGGAAACAATGTATATGTTATGGAGCCGCAATACAACCCTGCCGCCGAAGCCCAGGCTATCGACCGAGTTCACCGCCTGGGGCAAAAGCGGCCCGTTAAAACCGTTCGATATATCATTCAAGACAGCTTCGAAGAAAAGATGCTGGAGTTGCAGGACAAAAAGAAGCGATTAGCAAGCCTCAGCATGGATGGCCAGAGTAAGACTCTGGACAAACGCGAAGCAGCAATGCAAAAATTGAAGGACATTCGAAGCCTCTTCAAATAGCACTCATCATTCTCGTCTCTTTCTTTATTCATTATTTATTAATAGGGCAGGCGCTTTGCTTTGCAGCTTTTACAGCATTTCATGGCGTACTTAGAACTCCTTTCCTTCAAACATAGTAGAGGGGGGGGCGGCAACCAACGGTCTGCTCTTTAATGGCTCAGGATTATCATCAAGGGGGAATATTATGATTCACATTTATTATGGTTTGGGAGTTCAACGTCCGCTCTATGGCTGGAGATAGTTCACCCACCGTCTTCTATGGCGATAGCGTGGCAGCGTTGGCAAGTGGTTTGGGATGGAAACTTGGGAGTTTTGACATCAGCAGCTTTTAACATGATACGATGATTATACCCGGTGGTTGATTCAGCAATATAAAGAGATATCTAGAGGCAGCGCCCCAATATCGGGAGCGCTACGTTTCATGAGCGAGGGTGTCTATGCTGCAGGACACACGAGCCTGCTTACAGAGTTATGACGATCAATTCAACAAATTTCAGAACTACATGCTTGAGGGTGACTAGTCATCATCGTAGAAGTCCAAAGAAAATAAGACATTTGCCCCAACGCCTGTTCATCTAACACCATCGTTTTGCTTTCCGACTTGCTGAGGGTATCATCCTATTTCTACCAAGAGCTCGCTGCCAAGGGGAGAAAAACTCCCAAGAGAGAAAACAAAATATGCAAGCGCGAGGAGTGGCGGTATCATGAAATCAGGCAACAGAATCATCCTCGGGCTTAAGCCCCGCGTACTGGGTACCCTGATTGGCAGTGCTGAGTCTCGCGCAGAGACTCAAGAGCGCCACCGTCTCGGTCGCGGCGTAGTGGTTGAGCGCGTCGAGCAGGATCTGCAGGTGGCGGCTGAAGTTGCTCTCCCACTTGCGGATGATCTCGAAGAGGTTGTTGATGCGCGCCTCGGGGTCGCCGTCCGAGGCGGAGATGGAGGAGGTATCGGCACCGGGGGCTGAAGGCCGGGAAGCGGCAGCCTTAAAACGTTTCCACTGGTCTTCGGTCATGGTGGTGGGCTTCGTAGAGCCGGAGAGGTCCGGGTCGGATTTCTCGAGCTCGCGGGTCAGCCAGTTCGTCCAGGTGGCGAAGATGGTGCAGGTCTGCATCAGCTTGGAGTGTATCTGGAGGGCAAACGAGTGAGTAAGGTTGTCTCAGAAAGTTCGATCATCGTGCAATACGTACCCTTAGCAGCTTACTGTTGGTCAACATGCATTCCTTCAGGCACGTATCAAGGAAATCAACATGGTTCTGCATCAGCTCATCAACAGTCCGCGTGAAACTCGATGGCTTCTGATCTTCAGCATCATCTTCAGTGTTTAGCCGCGACATGAATTTAGACCAGTTGGGCTCGATGACTTCCGCAGTGCAAAAATAGAGCAGCTGCTGTACAAAGACCAGCATCCGTGCTCGAAGTGTCCATACCCGACGCTTCCAAATTTCCAGGTTGCGGCTCGATCCCTTATGGCCCCAGCTAATGCCACGAGTTTGAGTCTGCCAAGTCGTTGACAGCTGAGATTCGAGGTAGCGCAATGAAAGGAGGTAGCGGAAGAGTGCTTGATAACGCCACACAGTCTTCCTACTAATAACAAGAGAGACAGGGAAAGGCACCACATAATCAAGCTGTAAGGATGTGAAACCCGTTGCCTTCTTATCGGACTCCATAGGCTGGTTAGAAACAGGTTGCAAAGCCTCCCCTTGCTCAATTCCGGTGATATTCACCACTCTTTGGAGCGACTTGGTCAAAGTGATTTCATTCATCTCAACCTTGACGTCCTCCTTGAATGGATCAAGAGAAACGATGCTTCCTGGCTGGCGGAGCACCAGGTCAAGAAGAGACTGGAGCTTGCCAGTATTAACAGTTTTGACGCCCTTGCGAAGTTCTGAAGCGCCGAGCTCAAGGAAATATGAAAAGTAATCGGATGGATCGAGGAAGAAGTAGTGTTTAAGTGATCGTAACCGTGCAGGAAGAGCATGTGTTGTGAGTAGAAGTCTCATGAGTGACTCGTTTGCATGTGCGTAAGCGTTATTGACGTTCTCCAAGAATCGAGTGTCGTCAAAAGAGGTAGGAACATCTTCGACAACCTTGCTGACATCAACGCCGCCGCATTCACGGACCACGTTAAGATATTTCCCTGCTAGAAGAACCTTGTCCTTCACGCTTTGAAGCTGAGGGGGGACATCGGAATCGCGGATCGTATATCTCCTCTCCCAGTATTCATCTGTGTAATCTTGCTCCAAGCGATCTCTCCGGATGCTCTTCTGCTCCTTTATAAGAAACTCGGAATGAGGGTCACTGATCCCGCCATGGTGCAGCCATTCATTCAACATCACCATGTACGGTCGGCTGGCATCCCTGAGAAGATTCGTGAGCAAGGCTCGAGCTGCAGGGTCTCCCGACATCGCCTCAAGGCGTGTTGTGACCAAACCAAGTGCCAAACCTCCTTTGCAAAGCTTCTTGTTTGTCATATTCCCAGGAACGAGCTCACCGCCATCTCTCAAGTTTTCAATAATGTCGTCGTAGTCGTCCACACTGTCCTCTTCTTCCTCGTCGTCGTCGTCAAGAAGGGAGTTGCGCTTCAGGAGCTCTTGGGCCAGCTCATACAGTTGCTGCATCATTTTGCATGTTGAGATGGTCTGAACATTGAGCACATGGACTGTGAACGTGTCGCTTGTGAGAAACTGCGTCTCGAGCTGGGCAATCATTATCAAGTAATCCTGCAACCATTTTCGCACAGAGGCACACAGGGCGTGGTTGACAGCGCCGAACTCCTCGCGGCTCTGCACGTCTACAAAGGCCTCCAGGGCAGAGTAATAGGTTGCCATCTTGACCATGGACTGTGCTAGGTCATGCAAACTCGGGTCCATGCCAGCCGCAATCTTGAAAGCTGGTCCCGACAACCGATCTCTCTCCTCGTTGGGGTTGTAACCTTTGGCATAACGTATGTACTGGCCCTCATAGCCCATGAAGACGAAGAGAAGGTCCGCCACAACGGCAGCTTCTTGCTCTTCCAGCGTCAACGTACCAAGGGGCTTGGGTTGAGGGGCCTGGGGCACTGCCGAGGCAATGGGCGCTATCGATATTCTCGATGCCAATGGAGCTGTCGTATGTGGTACTAGAGAGGCCTCGGGGTTCCAAGGAGCTGCAGAGGATTGGGTCAGCCAGCCGTAGAAACAGACGTCCAAACTCGATCATACCTGAAGGTGTCTCTGCACGCGAACGACCCTCCGATACCTTGTGTTTATGCGTATCCGGTGCCTTCCTCTCCACTGGTGGACGCTGTCTGTCAGTGCTCGTACTACGAGGAACCAAGCGCTGCACATGAGCCTCGATAGTGCGTTCAGTGATCCGTCGCTCCTCATATCGTCGTTCTTCAGTCGACCGGCTCACATTCCTATGGTGTCCCGAAGTCTGGTGCCCCGAAGCCGTACGTTTGTGTGTTGCCGATCCATAGCTCGCGCTAGTCTGAGGAGATGCTGTCTTCCTCCCAGACTCCATTCTCTCTGCTCGGAAGCTTCCGTTCGTTGTCGAGACGCGGGGACGTTCGTCGGCGGTTCCATTGGCGCGACTCGATGATCGCGCTGGGCCCGAGGACATGCTGGCGGGCTACATGAAGCCCTTCTGAGGTTGATTCAGCCGCGTCCTAAGCCCATGTAGAGTAGATTTACTACAACACGAATCAGGCCGGCGTAGCGCTTTGGGTATTTATTGCGGACGCATGAACTGGATATGTAAATAATTTAGCTATGGAGGGATACGTGGGGTCGAGCCAGAGGTGGATATGCCATTATCATGTTAATATAATCCCGGACGAGATCCAAGCTCACAGCACTATAAACCGCTAATTGAAACGCGCTTCAGTGGGCAGGCGCGTCATTCTCGGAGCCCAAGTAAATGCGGCTGCCGGCAGAAGGTGGGATGTATGTGCGTACCTAGGCTCCTATGTCTATGCTAGCCCCTGTGTATTGCCATGATTTTGAATAGAAGAAGCGAATTCATTGTGATTATATGATTGCATCTCTAATGCAAGCAAACAGAGCTCAATGCCTATCTAAGTCGTGATTCCCACAGCTACCTCCTACGACCTAAGGTATGCTCATAGAGTTGGAGAGTTTGGCTGTCGCTGGTACTGATGTCAGTGGGGTAGACTAAACCCAGCCAATCACAGCCGCGGGTGCCCGCAACTCCCTCTAGGTTAGGTAGAGCATGCTGCGTACTTCAACTGCTTGCCTAATATGAGCAGCGAGCTACCAGACAGCAACTCTCACAATCAACCTTGTTGCCCAGCTCCTCCAACAGGTCAACCACACTCCATCCACACGAACCCACGCTCTCCCTCGTCCACATCGACGCAATAGGCAGATCCGCCTTCTAGGAATCCTAATTTAGTCCGACAACCCCCCAGAAACCGCCAAGATGTTTATGGCAAGATCGGAATACGGCAAGCTTGCTTTCCCTTCCAGATAGCTTCAGCCGTGGATGATGCCCCGAGCTAACCATTCATGACACAAACTTCCAGACCGGGGAATCAACACCTTCTCCCCAGAAGGCCGCCTGTTCCAGGTCGAATACTCCCTCGAGGCCATCAAGCTCGGCTCGACCGCCATCGGCGTGGCCACCTCGGAGGGCGTCATCCTCGGCGTCGAGAAGCGGGTGACGTCCACCCTCCTCGAGACCTCCTCCGTCGAGAAGATTGTCGAGATCGACCGCCACATCGGCTGCGCCATGTCGGGCCTGCAGGCCGACGCCCGCTCCATGGTCGAGCACGCCCGCGTCGAGTGCCAGAGCCACACCTTCAACTACAACGAGCCCCTCCGCGTGGAGAGCACCACCCAGGCCATCTGCGACCTCGCCCTACGCTTCGGCGAGGGCGCCGACGGCGAGGAGACCATCATGAGCCGGCCCTTTGGCGTCGCGCTCCTCATCGCCGGCTTCGACGAGGACGGCCCCCAGCTGTTCCACGCCGAGCCCAGCGGTACCTTTTACCAGTACGATGCCAAGGCTATTGGATCGGGTTCCGAGGGTGCCCAGGCGGAGCTGCAGAACGAATATCACAAGGTAGTCTAGATTCTTTCTCCATTTTGGTTCGGACAAAAACTGACGTTGATAACCCTAATAGTCTTTAACCCTGGAGGATGCGGAGACCTTGGTCCTGAAGACCTTGAAGCAAGTCATGGAGGAGAAGCTGGACCACAAAAACGTGCAGCTGGCCAGCGTAACTAAAGAGAAGGGCTTCAGAATATACACCGATGAGGAGATGGTGGAAGTCGTGGGACGTCTACCCGCCAATTAATAGAGCTACTCTTTCCCATGAATAGATAAAATCCCACGGCCAAGCGCCTCTTCATGAACCACGGGTCGCGAAGCTGTCTTCACTATATATATTAATATATCGAGTGGCTATCGAGTGGCTCTTGATAACAACAATATTCCCATTAAACAGTAAATGGCAGTTATGCCGGGTTTCCATGTCCCACAATTCTACATCTTCTTTCTCTTTCTATTTCATCGAACCATCATTCCCTACATTGCCTGATTCCTTTTTGAGCTGAGGAAGGCCTAAGAACCTATCAGTCTCACTCTACAAGTTCTATTCTTTTGTTAACAGCATTTTCTCCCAAGTCCAAGAATTCTAGATCGTCCTCTACTCCCAATAAGCCAAGAGCGTAGTGTGCCCGTTCAACTCTAGCCAACACAAGACGTGTCTCTTCGCCTTGCTCAACCTCTTGGATTCGCCTATCAATTCGCCGAGCTGTCTTCCATACAGAGTCATCCATGGCGTTCGGGTTTATCGTCCGCTCATATGCTGGGCCTCTGCTCATTTGCGCAGCTTTAATCCAGCTCGTCTCGCAGCCTTCAGCAATCTGTTGAGCAGACTGCCATCCAGTGAGTCGGGTGATGTCAAACAATCTTCGAACGACCCATTTGCGCTGCTCTTCATCTTGGTACTGCACAGCACAGGTGGTTAGCCATGAAAGACCGTCAGATTCGGTTAGGGGGACTTCGATCATACTTGAACCGCAGCCACAAACAAACATATCGCGCTCTCAATTAACGCTGCCGCGCTGACTGTGCTGACCTCTGTGACCTCTGGGCCGCCGTCAAACATGCCCACAGCAATTCGCCCAATCAAGTTCGCATATTCAGCCGTCTTACGTGCCGACAAGCCAACTGATTGCATAGCCGTGGGCGGCATTGAGGGGTGAGAGCGATGAAGAGCTATCAGCCCCATGTAGTAGTTTAGCCAGATCCCTGCCACTGAAAAAGTTCTATATTGTAGAGCAAGCCCAAACGGGCGCTCCCTCCTGTCAGTATATTCAGCACCAAGAGGCTGAAATTCAGGTCCTAGGTGCTCTTTAAAAACTTGGAAAGCGACTAGAATGCTATCCCATTCTTGCATCGCAGACTGCAAACTTGCTTCGAGGTCAATCTGGTCCGGTGCCTCGACTTTGGGAGGAACATTTCGAGGTGGGCTAAATCCCATTGGTGCACGAAACCCACCCATATTTGGCAGCATGCCGGGGAAGGAAGGCGGCGAATGTTCAGAAGAAGCAGAGCCCTGGGCTCGATACGCCTGGCGCTTCCGAGATGAATCATTCGACTGGAAGTTAGCAAGTCGGCCTAACAATAGCATGAGGTGATCATATGTCCCGTAACTTCCAAAGCATCAGCATCTATCAGCAAATTGGCAGGGTTAACAGACTTACATGCCGCCCAACTTCGATGCTGGGGCTCGAGGCGGACACTGGGTCCACTGTTCGTATTCCATACTAGAGAAGTCAGTCATTGAAAGATAGCAGGCATTGGAAATACATACAAGAGTTTCGCTCCCCCGAGGATGCTTTGATAAACATCCATTTTACAGTACCACCAAAAAAGGTCTCGGAGATTTTCATAATCTGCAATATCTTTGTCCGTCACAGTTGTAGAAGAGATGGAGAGGACTTGTTCTTCTCTGAGTCCATAGTCGCTTGGAGCCACATGAAACCCGGTCAAGGTCGTCAGAAGTTCATAGTCCAATGTGGCAGGATCTTTGGGAATAGGACTCCCTATGCTAGCAAGTCCCATCTGCTTCATGAGTTTCTCCCTCTCTTTCATGCTCTTGGCTGGCAGGCATTTTTGCGAAAGCTTCCTCAGAGGAATTTCAGCAAAAAGGCTCCGTGCCCCATAGAGATGATTACACCAACTTGTATGTTCCGAGTTCCACACCTCAAAGTAGCCAAGCAATAGAGTTGCCGCTATAGTAGCAGGATGGACGCGTTTTGAAACGGATTGTACATTTTTAGCAATGCGTCGGAGTGCAATGTGATAGTGTTTATGTGCTGCTGTAGGCGGAATCCTTTGTAGCCTTGCAATCTGTAAGCTCGACATTGCTAACATCGCCTGAAGGAGTCCAGGATGCTGGAAAGCAAGCACAGGGAATGTATCTGCTCGACATTAGCTTCGAATATTTTCGGACAGTGTGCCAGGGTAGTGGTGATAAACGAACAGCTCCAGATATTATTGCTCCCCGAGTCAACATCAGCAGCCTCTCTTTCAGTCGGATCAAACGGATGACGCTCATAAAGTGACATGCTTGGACCGGTGACCTTGATGAAATGATGGAATATTTGCCTCTTCGCCTCGTCCCTGAGTTCTGCTATATGCGGGAAGTTCATGTAATCAGCAACCATTTGGCTCTGGGAATTTCCAGTAAACGATCTCAGCGAAGTAGCTCTATCGCCGAACAAGGGGAGGAGTGACGCAGAAGGGAAGATCAGAGCAGATTCCTTTCCGGCTTCATCGTCAGAATCTGCCAATGAGGCATCCTCGTCTTCACTCTCATACGTCTCGTGGATGATCTGAACGTTCGGTTTTGCATTAGAAGATGGATTCGATGACGAAGCGCCGGCTGGAAAGTTATTTCCGCCATCAATTGAAGTGACGGGTCTGGCACGGGCAGGTGCGTTGCTTGTCTGATACTGGTGGGTTCTTGAATCAGGCAAGGAGTAAGGTTGTCCTAGCTGAACAGGTGGTGGGATATTCGGCGGTGCATGCTGCAATAAAGGATTTGGCTCGGTAGTATATAGACCATGGGGGTAAGGTGGTGTGAGTTCATATGGTGAGTGAAACCCGCCGAGCTTGGGAAACTCACCCGGTCCATATTGAAGACCATGGGGGTGCTGTGGGACGTATTCAAAGGCGGGAGGTCTCGGTGCAATGGTGGGCAATAATCCTTGGCCAGGAGGTCGAATTTGCTGGGTTCCAAACTCGCTCATGGGATGCGTGCCTTGAAGGTAGCCGACCGACCCAAAAGGCCCCTGGAGGGGATGTGACCCTATCGGGGCCTTGAAGACAACTCGTTTGCTATACCCCTCGCATGTCCGTTTAGACTTGATGCAATTATTACAAGTTGGTCTATTCTCATCACACTTGATACGTCTTTTCCGACATGCTATAATAAAGCCGGTCAGATTGGGTTCGTATAGATTGGGGAAAGAAGATTGAATAAACCCATCTAGATGAACTGGGAAACTTACTAAGGCATCCGGTCTTTGTTCTTTTTCTAACGTTGGGTTTCTTGCGATTGGGGTCTTCCTTCCCCCCATCGCCCTGGGTAGATGAATCTGCAGGAGGCTGGGCTTCATCGGCAGGTTGATGAGCCGTAGGGTCTTCCATGGTGTGATCCTCCTTTCCAAGAGCGTCTGCCTTTCCGAAATATTTGACGACTGGAGCAAGCAACAGTTCCGGTATGATTCTCAGAGGAAATGTCTTGCATCATTCGCCTAACTATGCACTGAGCGAACTGGAGAGCATAAAAATACGTCGAGAATGGTACCAAGATTGCTTGCTGCAGCAGATGACTATGGTATCAGGCTGGCCAGATTGACAAATTAGCAAGGGGGGAGTATGTAGGTTTCAGGGGTAGATTTTGACGGAGTATTGCCTCAGGTCATCTTGACAAATACAACCCAGCGAGTCTCTGCAGGTAGAGCCGACGGGAGAGGACTGACCCTGGATGTGAAGGCGTGATAGAAAGGATCGAGGAAGAGGCGACGAGGAAAGAGTGGCAAGGTTCCAGTGGGTGATGGAAAGATGGAAGAAGTGAAACATTTTTGTGTGACGGCTCTTGCATTCGCAAATGGCAGATAATTGGGGTCAAAAAATGGAGAGGTAACCAAGTGTAAGGCCAGAAGAATTGGCCCTGCCATCGAGAAAAGGAGATTGAGGCTCACCTAGTCAGCCCTAGGGTTGGCGATGGGACAAACCGTGGTATTTGATTCATACAACTTCGAGTCGTCCTGTGATGCCTACTTGGCTCAACACAAGGGGAGAGCGTTGTTCAAACACAAAACTCGTGTCCACTTGGCCGAGGCCGAGGCTACATTCTTTTTAGGCAGCGGTAGGTTACTGCGGAATGGCTTATATGAGAGCTGAGATTATCGAATGCCCTCTGGTTGTTATGTGGGAAGGATAGGGGAGGTATCCTGTGGCTCAAACTGTCTGTACGGAGGGCGCAGTTTGTGTAACACAATACCTCGTTGTTGGTTTGAAAGAACGAGGTGCTTCTCCCGGCTATTGGCTTGGCCCGGTGGATTACAGGCGGTACCTATACGCAACTCTGAGTCCTTGATTGTGTTTTCTGGGCTGCGAGGGCGTCTGGGGGTGAAGTAGGTAGCAGGTACACGATGAACACCACATCACCAAGGGAGGTACCAGCCTCACCAGCTTCTACCACCTACCTCGGAGGGCATGCGTTAGCGCCAATTGCGGGCCCCAATGCTAAGGAATGGCTGGTTTTCTGTGCAATCTCATCTTTCGAAGACACTAGAAAACATGGGATCGAACGCAGAGAAGGACGGAAGAGGCGGCTGCCGAGTGGTACCCAACCACAAAATGAAGGCGGTTGAAGTTTCAAGGTGACTGCACTAAGGGAAGATTCGAGCTATCCGGCCGGTGCAGATGAGACTGCTAGAGCTGCTAGACCAATCCAGATCTACACTGAGGAGCTCCAGTGGAGCCAGCCCAATGTCATTGATAAAATAAATGGGCAGGTCGGCGTGGAGCACCTGCCAAAACTGAATAGGGCAGTACCACCGGTATCCAGATACAAAGGGCCGGACACTGCAGCGTGCCTGGTTACTTCAGGCAATACTTGCCTGTCTGTAGGCAGGATGGCAAGTATCCGGTACCGCGGAGGCGAACAATCCATCCACCTCATGCTCGGGACTCGCGTACCTGTCCACGTAAGAGGGTGGCAGGCACGGCAATTCCGCCAGAGACATCCACGACCGCGGTCCAGGCTGCTCCTGCTTGGCTTGACAGGGTCAAATTCTCGCCGAGATCCACCCCCACAGGCACCTAAACCGACACCAACAGCACTAACGCATAAGACTAAATGACAGGATGCAGATGTGGCATGAGGGGGGCAACTGCCACTTATGACTTGCATGATAGCCACAAAAGGAGGCACGTACATTGCATGCTCGGAGGAAAAGCATGAATTCATCTGCAACTCCTGTGCTGTTTGGGCGCAGGTGTCTTCGTCAGTTTGTCCATACTAACGTGGTAAGATCCTCATAACAAGAGGGTCGGTGCCAGAACAACCCGCCTCGGCACAGAACCAACGAGCATCCGTCCGCCTACGTGGTTTGCGGCTGCGAAAGCTCCATTCTTCCGCTCTACGCGCGGCCATACAGTAGTGGTAACCTAGAATTCGGGGATGAGGGCATCCTCCGTGCAGGCACTGTATATCTTGCCTGATGTTGTCCTAGCCCTGGCTCAAAAACCAAGCGTGCAGCGTCGTGCTCCGCCGAACCGCAGGAGGCTCTTTACGCACTATCCGAGTGCTCTTTTCGTGGGCAGCCAGTTGTTCGAGAAACTCGCCTGCTCAGACAAGGAGGGGTCCCCTTCAGCAGCAGGCATCCGTCTGCCCGCCCTGGATCAGCGGGTAGAGTCGGTGTTTGCTGCTGTGTAACTCAAGCTTCCCATGCTTCCCCCGACCAATCAATTAACACGGCGGTGTTCAAGCACGCGAGCGTCTGAGACCTGCGCATATTACGTATTGATACCACTTTGTTTGTGAGCCTTCTGCCTCAGGCAGGCCGAAGACAATCATGGCTCTTTTCGTGCATGTGTCTTGGTTCCCTCATGCGCTCTCGGCGATACGAGAAGGAGGGTATTAGCCATCAAGGTCAAGAAAAGCCACATCTACGCCCCGAATTGCGCCATCTCCCCATTATAGAACATGCTATTTGTTCATTGTCTACTCCGTAGATACTTTGGGCTGGGGTCGGCTTGTCCTGAAAAAGTGGTCACCACAGCATGTATCAACCCATGGCTGGGATCCATGTGGGTTATATCTACCAGGTAGAGTTCATAGGTGCAGCCGGCCGTGACATGTAGGTTCATACGGTCCTCAATTCGGGGGAGATCATGAGCGACAAGAAGCTCGAAGTATTAGTACCTTGGGTGTTGCTACCACTATTGGAAAGTTTGAGCAATCAGGTACATCAGAATTCTATTCCTAGGACCAGTTGAAGAAAAGTGATACAACCACAAGACTTCTGGCGACATCGAGAGCGGTTTCCTGCTCTATATGCAACGCTAATCTAGCTTTCATCGGCCCGTTAGAGTTAGGCTCAGCAGCCAGTTTTTACCACAACACTTAAATTTCTCCCTTCACATGTCCAATCCATTGTTGACTTCACCCTGCCCTGATTCCATCCGATTGATCCGAGCGGCTTTTCCTTATGCTGAACTTTTCATGCTGAAATCTTGAAATCGATAACATGCTCTCCAACTCCAACCTTTATTCTAGTTTCTCCACCATCGACAGGCAGAGTGAGTATAGTTCTTTCCTATTCCTCATTCGACAGTGTTCTAGGCTCTTTCAGAACCCATTTACCTCAAAACTTCCAAATGTAAGTAGGTCGTCAGACAACAATCATTTGTCAGAAGGTCTCATTCTTGCCTCCCACCCACCCTCCCACCTTGCCTCAGCTATTGTACTCGTTGTCTGTCTTGATGAGAACAACAATACGTATACCAAACAAACTCTCCAACTCCATGGGTGAGAAATTTACAATAATTCTACATTAGCTTCACAATATTTGCTTGTTGTTTGTCATTTGATACTACGTCAAAATCCATGAACGCCATAGCCCGGCCTGGGCATTTACACTTCATTGGAAATAGGTAGCTATGTGTTTGAAACGCCAGCACTCTATCTAGGACTTTGCTTCAGTCTCATATAAATCTTCAAGATATTTGAACTAAAAGTTATCTTTTGTGAAAGCTGTTGACGTTGAAGAAGCGCAACTTGTGAATGAAGCGCCAGATAGGTGACACAAAAAGTGGCACGAAAACACCAGAGACATTGAATTCCCCATCGCATCCAGAAGACCCTAACATCACGACCAACGTATTTCAAGATAGCAAACATGACAGCTTATATTCCTATTATTGTGATTCTTACACTTAATTGATGAAAATTTCTTACAACTTACCTACACATTAAAGGCTGAACCGAGTGCTCTAGGGTGCCATATTTCTGTCACTCCCAATCCTAGTCGATTCTTATCTTATCGCCATCCGTGCACGGCCCATACAAAAAAAAAGTTGGGTAGATCATATAGCCCAGTTGAAGGATTGACTTCATTGACTTGCTTCTACTGAAAAGAAGAATATAACCACGTTAAGTTCTATTATCGCAACTATGTTCGCGGTTCCAGGATGGTCGGTATCTGCCGATAACCTCAAGGTAGAAACCGTTTCAAAAAACGACTCAACTCCCGGCGCAAAGCCCAGGAAGCGCAAGAGAGCTGGCGCTTCCGCCCCCGAGCCAGACGTGACATCCTCCAATGTCGCGGACCTCTGGAGCTCCGTGGTAGAGGGGAACGAGGGCGCCGTTGGGCCCTCGAAAGAGAGCAAATCCTCCAAACGCCAGAAGAAGGCCGGTGAGGCCTCTAAAAAGAAGGGCGATGGTGACAAGAGCGAGGAACCGCCTGTGACCAAGCCCGTTGCGGATGACAAGCCCACTCCCGGGAAGAAGGATAAGAAGGACAGAAAGGAGAAGAAGAAGGAGAAGCCCCAGCCATCGGGCGATTATCAGGGCGACGCAGGAAAGAAGGCGGCAAAGGCAACCACTGAAGCTTCATCATCGAAAGCGGCTGCTCCCGTTCCTCCACTCCCTGCCGCGTCAAAGCTCACGCCTCTCCAGGCCTCAATGAGAGAGAAGCTCATATCTGCGCGGTTCCGCCACCTGAATGAGACCCTGTACACGAGACCCTCCGAGGAAGCCTTTGGTCTCTTCCAGGAGTCCCCCGAGATGTTCGAGGAGTACCACGAGGGCTTCAGAAGACAGGTCAAGGTGTGGCCGGAGAACCCGGTCGACACCTTTCTTCGCGACATTCGAACTCGCGGAAAGGTCAAGCCCGCTGGGAAGGGCAAGCCCAACGCCTCGCAGGCCCCGCCCTCCAAGACTGCGCTCCCTCGCACCGCGGGGACCTGCCACATCGCCGACCTGGGCTGTGGAGATGCCCGGCTGGCACAGTCGCTTCAGTCAGACAAGGGCAAGTTGCGCCTTCAGGTCCACAGCTTCGACCTTCAGAACCCCAGCCCTCTGGTCACCAAGGCGGACATTGCCAATCTGCCTCTTGAGGATGGGTCGGTCAACGTGGCTATCTTCTGCCTGGCTCTCATGGGCACCAATTGGGTAGACTTCGTGGAGGAAGCCTACCGCATCCTCCACTGGAAGGGCGAGCTCTGGGTAGCCGAGATCAAGAGTCGCTTCGGTCCTGTTCGGAATAAAAACGCCCCCGTCGCTCACAGTATAGGGAGGCGCAAGGCAACTGCCGGGAAGAAACAAAGCACCGAAAATGTTGCAGACCTCGATGAGGACCTCTCTGTAGAGGTAGATGGTGTGGAGGATCGCCGACGAGAGACAGACGTATCCAGCTTTGTGGAGGTTTTGAAAAAGAGAGGGTTCGTGCTCCAAGGTGAGAGACATCAAGCAGTGGATCTCTCCAATAAAATGTTTGTCAAGATGCACTTCATAAAGGGTGCATCTCCAACCAAGGGGAAGGGTGTTAATGCACAAGAATCTGGCAAGCCAACCAAAAGGCCCATGTCTAGAAGGGAGGCATTGTTAGAAGCAGATGAGCCAGAAGAAAACGAGGCATCCATTCTCAAGCCTTGCGTTTACAAGATTAGGTAGACATTCGTATACGTACTGTTAGAACATTGAAAACTAAACAAATGCCCATTGCTCTAAACCATTGCCTATCTCTTTTTCTCGGCGAATTCCCTACTCCTTTACTACCGTTTATTTTTGTATAATCAGGTGCCAAATACCTAGCCCAGGGCAGATAAAATGAGCATAAACGAATCCAACATCTCTCTGTTGAAGTCTATCATCAAATCTCTGAGCCCAGATCAATCAAATACGCCCTGAAAGAAAGAACCATTTCGTTTCCCATCGCCGGTTGTTCGTTGTATTCGTAAAATAAAATCAGGGGAGAAGAATCATGGCGAAATCTATCCAAAGAAAAGGATACCAGCAGCCATGTCCACATCGTTTGCTGTGGCTTGGAGAGCCTGGATGGCGCGTGCGCGGTCGGCGCCCATAGAAACCAAGGTTTCAATATGTTGTTCTGACACACCCGTACCAGCAGAGTCCGCACCTTGGGTTGGCGCAGAAGCTGCTGCTGGAGGGTTAGGCTGGGTGGGGGCAGTTACTTGGGGGGTTTGCTGAGCCTGTGATGGCTGACTCTGCGCCTCTGTCGAGGTGACAACGCCTGATCTCTGTCCAATTTGTGTACCTGCGGGTCCAGGAAGTGTGGGTTCCTCCGTGACTTGTTCCTCTTCTTCCTTGGGAATATCAGCCTCACCAAGGAACGGAATCTCTTCGTCCTGGATCACCAAGTTTCCCTTGGCCAGATCGATACTCGCTTGGTATCTCTTCAGCATATCAAGACCCAAGAGAAGCTCGACGGTTTTGCCTTCCATCACAGTGAAACTGCAAGGCAGAAACAGGTTTCCGATCTTGATTTGAGCAGCATGAACACGACCAACGATTTTTGCAGTTCCAACACCACGAGCAACACCGGCGAATCTGGTATCAATGAGACGAGATATGCCACACGCCTCGGCGTATTTGGGAGACATGATTGTTGCCTGGGCGCCTGAATCGACCAGAGCCTTTACCTTGTGGCCGTTTACCTCAACGTTGACATAGAGTAGATGGACTCGCCCGAAAACTGCAAAAGAAATTAGTCTCTATGCAGAAAAAATGAAGAATAGTAGGGGCTCTTGGCTCACCTTCCGGGTTATGCTCCATAGCACTCTGTAGGTTCTCCATCACTGCCTCTTGCCGAATCATTTCTTCAATCCTCCTTTGAGCATCGACATTGAAGGGATCATCATTCAACCTTTCAATCTCTCGTTGGCGCTCCATGCGTTCCCTCTGTTCCCGGTCATAATTGTCGTTCAAGATCTGGGCAAATCGAGCTGGGTTCTCCAACGCAGTTGCAAGTTCCGGGTTCTGGCTCTGGACCTGGGCCCTCATCGCGGGGTTGCCAAGGATCTGCAAGCGTATGAGCTCCGGGTCCTGCTGTGGCCGTGCACCTTGCTGCGCTGGACGCTGTTGGGGCTGGGGACGCTGCGACTGGCTCGGGACACCAGTATTGCCTCGAGGATCCCTCACGTGCACCGCCAGCATCTCTCCGTCAACGATTTCTAGCTGCTCCAGGGTCTTGGCGTCATCGGATAGCAGACGGCCGTTATGGTAGATGTGTTGAGAAAGCGGGGCTATATTACTCTCGGCCTGGACGGATTCGCGGAGGGTCGCAACTGTCATTTCGGGGAAGACATCCAGAGTGAGGAGGTTGTCTTGATCTCCCTCTTGGAGGTTGAAGATATTGAGTGTGACACGCCTATCGTTACAGAAACTGTCAGTTGATGGGGAGAGAGGACAGGCGGAATTATGAACCACCTACATTGCTTTTGTTTCTAGGAGTGCAAGGTCCTAGCGACGAAGAGGAACAGTGGTGGTGGAAAAAAAAATCTATTTTTCCTTCTGGAAACTCTGTACCAGGTGTTACAGGTGTCTGAGAGAAAGCTTGAGGTTCAAGAGCAGGACGGGTCCCCAGATCGACCAGGGCAGTTTATACGGGGAACCAGGTGCCTAATCGCAGTAGGAAAAGCAACCAAAGAGACCAGCAGAGAGGGGTGATCACAAATCAGCGGCTGTGCACGGCGGTAGTGCGGCTTCCTCTGTCCCAGGGAAATCTCTCCCGTCCCGCGTTGAGGGTAAGATAAGCAGGAGCCGTGTTGGTAGGTCGCAGAATGAAAGAAGGTAATGGAAGCTGGGTGATGATCCTCCAATGGATATTGGTGAGAGCTCCGATGCTCGAAATAGGTCCTGGCAGGCTACCGAGCAGGCAGCTAACCTAATGGCGTCAAGTCCCCTAGCCGCACACCACCCAACAGTGCTGTCCTGGGAGGGGCCAAACAAGCCCGCTGGTTGCTAAAACCATGCCTTAAGTGGGTGGAGGTGGTGCCCATGAGGCAGGTATTTTGTACAGCTTGCCATGAGAGCATACCTAGCCGAATAAGCGGTGACGATTACATCAACGGGACCATATAGAAGAAGTTGGTAGTCAGGTACTAAGGTAGTTTTCGAGGGGCGTATATTGAGGTGGTAGCGATGTACACCTACCAAGCACATCACTCAGTAGCATCGCAAATAGGCAGACAAGCCTTACGCAGCGCATGGATAAATTCGTACAGGTAGGTAACCTATCATCGCACAAGGGGAGAGCAGGCAGGTAACTTGTCAATCTCAGAAATTGGGGGATGGAGCCTTTCCAGCCTAATTCAATTGCTCGAATTGGGCATCTATAACCACCTCGCATAACCGAAGCTCAGCACGATTTGGGATGTTCACCTTTGTTAAACTTCCGACTTGCTGACATGCATGCTCGGCTGCGTCTTTACGACTAATTCCTAATTGTTCTCACCTGTCGCTTATGGATTTCATTGGCTGCTCGACCGCTCCCGATGGCGCTGCCGTAGGCATGTACGTGCTATGTAATAAAGCAGCACCGTGGGGCACTGAAACCAAGCGCTCAAGCTGTTCAAGGCTCATACGATCACCCTGCAGTCATCCGGAGATGCAAGACTCAAAGACACCTCATCTATCCGATTTGCCAAGCCAGTGTGCATAACACCACGGTCTATTGGAGCAAGAACGGCAATTCAATTGCGAGCCTATAGGTTAAAACATACTCTCAGCCTACCCACCAGCCCTTCATGCTGATTTTCATGTCGTCATGAACTCCCCACCCGAAACGAGGTACGGCCCCCGGGAGCCTGACGAGAACGAAGTGCATAACGACACGAAAACCACACTGTGGATGAGGGAACCCTGGCGTCACATCATGTAATCGCACACGGCCGTCTCTAGATGGAGGCATGCCGTTTGAGCCTTTTAACCCCTATCGGCGCTTACATTACAAGCAAATTGCCTATCACAGTGAGGAAAGAGGGATCAGTCTGCAAAGAAAGACGCATTCGACATGGTCAGGATGCTCGCTTAGGCCCTGGCAGAGTTCAACATCGAATAGTCGTCCTTCGTCTCCAGTTTATGCACGTGCGCCAGCATCAACCCTACTACCCCAACCTACCTAATTCCCGTTCTTGATTTCGCTGTCATGCATACCCTGGTTACCAATCGGAAGATATAGCTAGACGAGACAGTGATACGTGTGACATAAAGTAGCCGGCCGCTCACTATCACACACCTCCCGGACCCTGGAGCTCACGGGTCCATCCCTATCGTTACTTGACCCTACCCTTCTCAGCCCGCTCGCCCGGACTTGCACATCAGGGTCTGATTTCGTGCCGTTTCAATCCAATCAGTAATGAATACAACCCTTCTAAGAACGGCTTGTGATTAATGTCCCGCTCTTACCACCGACCACAATGGGCGACTTGCTTGAGAATGTGACAGTATTGCCAGACATTTTCCTGACATAGCTCCAAGATTTCTAACCTGACCCTGGTGTGTCGGATCCATGTGCATATTTCAGCGTAGCATCTGCAATTACGGCTGAGAGAATATTGACCAGCATCATATGTATATGTAGGTGAGATACATCTACCTACTCTTTCATGATCCCATTGCTACCGCAGCATCCTACCTACTCGGTGGCCTTGTACTTGGCACGATAAGCTTCGGTGCGCTGAATGTCCTCTTCCGAGGCAAAGGTCTTCATGCCCTCAACGATGTCATCCAGGGTTAGGATAGCGAAGATAGGAATGTTGTACTCCTTCCTGAGTTCGCCAATTGCGCTTGGCCCAGGCTTTGATTCGTCCCCATCGGCAGCTGGGAGCTTTTCCATTCGGTCCACTGCGACCACAATACCAGCCACGATTCCGCCCTCTTTCCTAATCTTCTCAATCGCCTCTCTCTTAGCCGTGCCGGCAGTGATCACATCGTCGATTATGAGTACTTTCTTGCCCTTCAATGGAGCACCGACAATGTTGCCTCCCTCTCCATGGTCTTTGGCCTCCTTGCGGTCGAAGGAGTAAGAGATGGAATCCAAGTTCTTAGGCTCCAGCTCTCCCAGCTTCACGGTAACAGACGAGCTTAGAGGTATTCCCTTATATGCGGGACCGAAGACAATGTCGAATTCCAGTCCGTTTTGCTTTTGAGCCTCAATGATGGTATGCGCAAAGGCGTCAGAAATTGCCGCTGCAAGACGTGCGGTGTGAAATAGGCCAGCATTGAAGAAGTAAGGTGAAATGCGCTTCGATTTGAGCTCGAAGCTTCCGAATTTGAGGACACCTCCAGAGATAGATGCCTCGAGGAATTTTTGCTTGTAAGCCGGAAGTTGAGCACCCATGGTAGATGGTGTAGGAAGTGGTGATTAGGGCAGTTTTGCAGAATATAATTAGCCGAGGCTCTGTATTGTTAAACTCCAACTTTGGTTTCCTTTATGAGCGATTCATATGAAAGCAGGAAAATTGACATCTTTGCGAGCAAAGAATGCATCTCAGAAGGGTCCATTGGCGGGGTCTCGCGGGGCGATCCGTATGTACGTACCTGCCCGCAAAATTCTGCCGGCAAGTACATCCGCCAGAAACCTTCAAGAATTTTATCTTATCGATAAGACCAGTTTGGTGACCCGCCCACTCTTTGACAAAAAAAAAATT